GCGTATATCCAAGAATCTGAACTGGTGCTTGCTACGGTATCGCATTCCGTCGTGTGCCAGTTGATATCAGTGATCGCATGGTAGTGAGACTTGAGGATATGTTCTATAGAAGTCTTGCCGATGAGTAGGAGATTCCATATCAGACTACCACAAAGTTTAACATTGAGGTTATATTTGAAGCATGACCACTCAGTTTCTCGCTGGATGTGGAGACAATACACTGGTCTCGTTATGGATGAGGATTCCATTGGATGTCTGCTACATCCCATGTCCCTCTCTGTGGCAAAAACCGGGGTACTTCGAGTGGTGATTCGAGGTTCAAAGTGAATATACCACGACGCCTGCAGAAACCTAGAGGCAGGTCAATGCCAATGCTAGCTCATATACAACGAGAAACGCACGCAGCAAGAACAACATCGTGAAATGACAGGCTGATCCTCATCTACAGCACATAAATTAGCATACCATAGCACAAAGACAAGACTGTACACTCACATTGCCGACAGCGTCTCCAACTAAATCCTTCATATTGATCTGCAAGCTCTTCAGCAAGTTCGACCCATCCCCAGGTGACGCCAGTTCAACAGGTGGCATGTCAACATCATATGCCTCTGGTAACTCCTCCCTCGGACTCTCCGTTAATGCGCCGGCAGGAATTATCCTCTTCCTCGGCCTCTCTACATTGTCAGGTAGCGCCGCCACCGACGGTAGAATCAGACCTCTTCTGAATATATTCACAGGAGCTGGGTTTCCAAAGTTGAAATTGAAAGCAGCTGGTGATGTTGTGGTTGAGGTTGATTTGCGCTCGAGGGAGGAGAATGAGCTTATGTCGTTGACGCGGTATTTCCTGGAGCAGTATTATTGGGAATATAAGCTGAGCATGACGAGACTGTTGCGGTCTGGTGTATATTCAGGCAAGGAAGGTGTCCATGAAGGACGTCAAGTGTTGAGATAATTTGACGATGGCGGGAGGAAGCTCACTTATCCACCTGGCTTCGGTGGCGTGGTTCAATGTCAGGAAATCATTTACTCATGGTCATTACAAAATCATTTATTTTTGGCGTTTGGTTGGGTTACTCCGCTCACATACAAATGCCATTGGGCAATCCCAACACGAGGCTGCCAAATGACCCAGCCACAACACAGAAGGCACCCACACAGCTTCCCTCCTTCCTCCCACCACTACCATGTCTCGTTTGTCCACAGACACTCGAATCAACAAGGACACCCCTGCCAGGCAGTCGTCACGCACTCAAACCAAGCGCAAGACATCGATTCTATCCAATGCACATGACTTTGTGATCAGCAGCTTGACCCAAGTTGACAAGTCTCAGATCAACAGCAACAATACACAGATCAACATCAATAATGGTACCTCCAAAGGATCCGGTGAACAACTTCCTAGATAACGTTACTATCTGTTAATCTCCCTCTCTAGGCCTGCGTATCCTCCTCGAGAAATCCATCCCTGGAGCGAGTCTGGACTCCTCAGATCGCGATCCACCCCCCCGATGCCATCCTGGCACCCGAACCGAATACATCAAAAACCTCACAACATGGGGCCGCAACGCTGACAGTCACCCCGAGCGTATTGCATGGTTGAAGGGTCTTGCCGCTGTCGGGAAATCTGCCATTGCACAAACTTGCGCTGAAGACCTGGGTGACAAACTCGCCGCCGCCTTCTTCTTTTCGCGCCCTAATCATCGGGACAAATACGACCGCTTCTTCACCTCCATCTCCCACCAACTTGCGGTCAAATATGATTCATTCGGCGACATCGTCGACAGTGATATCATCCGTAACCCCACCCTTGTCGACAAGGCCTTGTCCCACCAATTCCACAATCTCATTGTCAATCCCATACAGCGGCTAAAACGTGAGGGAAAAGAATTACCAGAGCTGGTCATTGTTGTCGACGGCCTCGATGAATGCGCCGATGCGAAAGCACAGGAGACTATAATCAAGATCATCGCCCAATCAGTCCAAAAACAGACCACTCCTTTCCTCTGGATCATCCTCAGTCGCCCCGAGCGCCATCTCGAGGGTGCCTTTAACACCCCTGAAGTCAAGTCAATCACGCTTCCGATAGAACTCCCCGTATCCCGTGAGGTCGATGGCGATATTGCCATGTTTCTGACGGCGAAGCTGAAGGAGACAGCCCAGAAGCACCCCCAGTTACCTTCGCCATGGCCATCCGAACAAGAAGTCTGGGAGATCGTCGACCTCTCCGATGGACTGTTTGCCTGTGCCGAGGCTGTTTCTCGTTTCATTGACGACGATGATTCACCCGGACCTGAGGTCCAGCTTCACGACGTTCTCCGCCTAGCACGGGAGCACTCTGCCCAGAAGGGACGCGGCAACTCGTCAACGGGGTTGGATGGGTTTTACACTCTTGTCATGGAGCGTGTGCCACCGAAGCAGCTTCAGACCGTGCTGTGGATCTTCTTGGTGGTGCATTTGCCGTACTCCGTCAATGCTATTCAGATCGCAGGTGTGCTGGGGTTATCTGAATCACAGTTTCGAAATGCATTCCGCTCCCTCCATTCTGTCATAACAATAACTGACGAACAAAGTCCCAAACTCTATGACTACCACGCGTCTTTCACGGACTTTCTCGAAGATCCTGCCAGGTCGAAGCGGTTTTGGATTAAGGGGGACTGTGCTGTGACGTTATTGACCGATGTGCTGATACCCAGATATAACAAGGTTCAGGTCAATGGTAAGAAGCGCTCTCTTCCCATGAATTCTTTTTACTCCTCTTCATAGATAAGTATATTCCAGGCCTCTCCTCTGCTTGGGGAGAACCCTCGCCTGTGGGAGTCTACGTTGGTCTAGGCCGTGTATTTTTTGAACTCCTCATATCAGTTGACTTGGGTGTCCAAAAGCTCAGAGCTCTGAACGATTTTGACTTCAGAAAGGCGACTCTTCGATATGGTTTGCCGTTGCGTTCGCGTTCTGTAAGGAAGCTAGCCCAACCTCCCGTGTGACTTCCTTCACTAATCTATGTTGTAGTTCCCTCAAAGGTTGGAATTCATTCGTCGAGCCACTCTCGCAAACACGTTACGATCTGATCAATGGGGTATCTGGTTCAAGTCACTGCGGAGACCTGTTTACGTTGTTGGACACGGAGAGAAAAAATCTCTTTTCGCGCCCGTTGCCAGTATCGACCTCTGCCCCCAGCCATACTCCAAACGTAGTAATCAGAAGCTCCTAAAGCAGATGCGCGAGGTATCTACTACCTCATATACACAGCTATATCTAATGTTCGTTCAGGAATCCCCTGGAGCATGGGAGGAGCGGTGGCACTGAACCGTCTCGTCACATCTTTCACCAGCTTCCTTTATTTGCATTCTGTAAGTTAGGCATCGTGTCTTAATGCGGCGTATCCTGTCCCCTTGCTGATTGGTCACTTTGGCGCTGGCTGCCAGATGCGGCGGCGACGTCTATACGAACGGGTATACCTGTATTCCGTACTCGATACTTTGTGTGTTGCCTCAATCACTTATAAATTCCCTGACGTGTAGTGTGGATCAGTCCGTGGTCATGATGCTCACTTTGCGTGTGTCTGCGTGTGAACGTTGTGGAGTAGGAATGATCAGGATAAATAACATTAATCCTCTCTTGTTATGATAACTACGCTGGCCTTCTTTGAAGTGTGTACAGCGCTGTTTAGCAAGAATCTGTTAGGTGCGGTTAGGTGTCGGGACTTGGGTGTCCATTTCGGAAGCCAGGAGCAAACAGGCGCAGGTTTCAAATCGAGTCACAGACATGGATTGAGTGCTGTTTGCCAAGCGCTTCTTGTCATGACTAGAAGCATCAAGGGGGCGTCTCGAGTCTTGGATCTTGAGGCTTGGCGATTAAGGGACGCCCCTCACCTACAGCCCATAGGGCCATAGCCCCACAAGCAAGCATTGCTTACACCGGGATCCCTTCGATTCTTCTGACGTACATTTCAATCTGGCCAGTACGCTGGTGTCAAAACACGAGCCGGCGCTTATATTATGGGTAACCGAGTCGGGCGATTACTTATACTTGCCTGATGGAATGCAACGTTTGTCCACGAGTTGCTGCACACATATTTGAATAATGAAAGTCAAGCGCAAGACCCGCATAAACCTAGTCTGTTCATCCATGCGGAGCTCGTGCCCTCTCACTGTGTGTTACTTGAACAACTTGAGGCCGGAGCGGCTTGCAAAACCTCTGCAGCTGGGGCAAGCAGAAAGAGATGAAACTTGACACGGTAGCCAAGGAGAAACCGCCCGGTCTGCCTGCGGATTATGATACAGCTTGGACTGACGTTGTTAAGGCGGGCTTGAGACTATCACCTGTGGACGGGCCGGAGTGAATTTTATAGTACTGATCTCAACCAGTGGCTGAGAATGCTGACCTCTAGGCTCACCTACCAATCACTCCTCTGCCCAAATAGTCGATGGGTATGACCCACTACATGACCTTTATAAACAATGTAGGTGTGTTTCAGACTGCACAAACGACTCTCATCCACTTTTTTAACGACTACTGAGCAGCGCAGAGCGGCCCAGTATGGAGCACTATCCTAGTCGACAAGATTATTCGGATAACGGGAGGTCTGAAAAATAAGTATATATTATCATCTGCCAAAGACGAGGTCACAGTTTGTACGTACGGAATCATCTTTCATGCGCAGTTTGCCTATAGTCATGAGCCAGAATCATTGAGAAGGCTGGCTAGGAGCTTGGGGCATGGGGGTGAAGTCTTACTTGGTACTATAGGACCCATCCGCCAGTCGGTGAGGGTGATGGATGATCACAATCACTGGCGGTGAATGTCAATACCGGCTCTGATACCCCATTTCCTTCATCACGGGTTCCTTTGTCAGTTCTCTTTGTTCGAAAAAGTACTCCGGTAACTTATAACCGTACTTTTCACTTTCTTACAGCCCCTCTATTCCTTCATGAAATTGCAATATAACCCATTACCAATTTACCTTTTCAAAAAAAGCCCTCGGATTTTTAGAGGATTGGGGGCACCGTGGATTGAACACAGGACCTTTAGAACACTTTCATCAGAACGCTTCAGTCTACTGCTCTCCCAACTGAGCTATGCCCCCTTACGATGTATGTGGTACCGTGGTCTTCTCGGTCACGATGAACAGGGGACATGTCAAAAAAGGTTCATGTTGTTACAAATGATATCACAGCATCTCGTTGGCGTCTCGCGATACATTACTATATCTGGGGTCACATACAGGCCTGATTACAGAGCAACGGGAGAGGTTTTGTGTTTGGGCTTGCTCGATGTAATATCAATCATACCGATAGCATAAGTGCTGTCGGGGGTGGGGGTGAAAATGCCAATCGTGTCGATGGCCGGGTTAAATTACTCTCCTGACTCGAAAACGGGTACCCATTACACAGGCAACCGCATCCTGTTGGACATATGGGCACTTCCAGAGCATTCCAGCAGGATATATGCGATAGGTGGTGACAGATCAGACAATTTCTCGATAGGCCTGTTAAATCATGAGATTGAGGGTTGAATCCGTGCAGAAACCGACAGACCTTTGACGGGAAGTCGACAGATCGAACACAGAGCCATTGTTCTTGGGACATGGCATGCGTGACATTCAAGACTGTTGTCATACAGAGGATGCCCACAATGAGTACACGTTTGTACGATCCCTGATAACATAAGGAGGTCAGCTTTGGAAGGCAAGTTGAAGTCGGAGAGGCCTCACCAATCTGGTGGTACACACCCTTGTTCTCCTCCTTGACATGGTTCCTTTTATTCACCGTCTTCAATAACTGTATCCTCTTGTCATACATCTGCCACCTGAACAACAACTCGGCATAAACATGGACGTGTGCAACGAGCTGTTTAATAAAATCATGCGTAAACACAGGCTTTGGCCTGAAATTTATGGTGAATCACTTCTGTAAAACAAAAGGTCAAAAAGAGCGACTCACTTCTCATCGTCCTCCGGCGGGTCAAATACCACAATGCGCTTCCCACCCGTACTGATACCACTCAATTTACTCTGGTTCGAATTTGTCCACCTCAAGTTCGCCGGCCTCTTCACCACACCCACAGGCGCAATGGCAGCCGTATGTCCGGCAGATGAAAATAATACACCCGAAGCAGGTCCCGGACCACCCCCACCCCCACTACCCCCACTACCACCCGACAATGTCCCAACACCAGGCCCCCTCTGAAGCGGCGCAACCGTCTCTGTCCACGACCTAGATGTAGACGAAGTAGCCATACTCGAGTTCGACGTCGACGACGTGAGCGTCGTAGACATGTATGAATCCTTCCGCTTTCTATGCGGATGAATCTGCGTATTTGGTATTACGGGCGAATCCGGGGGTTTGGCTTTGTCGGATATCGAACCAAGAGAGACTCTGTCGGCTTGTGTATGGATCATCAGGTCTTGGGGATGGTTGAGCGTGGGGTCGAACGCGGAGTTGAACGTGCCTTGAACGAATTGCCGGCCCGTGTTGAATATACTTGTCCAGGATCCGCGTGAGGAATTAGATGAGGAGAGGGTTGGTGCAATGGGGGATGGTAGACGGCCCAGCGCAGGTGAAAGTGGTTGCTGATTAAGACCTTGTGCAATGGTGAAATAATCAAAGGGACCCGTCCTCGGGCTCCGAATGGACGACGGCAGTACATTGATTGAAGGTCTCTGAAGGGGACGTGGTGCCGGGGGAGGAGCCACGGTCGTGGCATATGGTGTCTGCAAAATCAACACAGCCAACATGGCCAACATCTGCACGTCCTTGTTCTTTGCAAAGTCCGCATATCTTGCAAAACCCCGTGTCAGTTGCTAGCCCGAAAACAGCAACAAAAATCGACTCACATCTTCATGAACACATCCGTCGCCAACCTCTGACACTCCTCATTCAGCCACTTCCCCTCCGAGTTCATGTTCCTCAACATCACCTGCAGAGTGTTCCA